TATTAATATCATAATAGAATATAAACGGTTATTTAATAAAATTGTATAAAATACTGTATAGAAGTATTTGTTTTTTATAGTATACTGTGTGAATACATTTTTCTGATTAGTAACGTATTTTAAATATAAAAAAAAAAATTACCTAAAACGAAATATATAAATACAATTTTAAAAGATACCTATAAAAGTTTTTTGTTATTTTATTAAAAAAATTATACAATTTATACAATACAATTAGTTTAATGAATAAATTTGATAAATGGTTATTGGTAGGTGGTATCGCTTTTTTGTGCAGGCACTCAGCATTCAGCAATGCCACCCAACCAGGTACTTTTTAGGTATTATTGTTTGTTTGTATTTATATATTTATTAGTAAATCTTTAGTCCTCATGTATTTTAAGTCTTCTACGTATATATTATAATTTATATTACTAATTGATGAAGGATAAGAATTTTTAGGTCTTTGTGATAATAAAGTTTTTGTAAAATTTCAAGAGTGGACTTGGGAGGTGATATCTAAAGTTAACAGTTRTACAGTTAAGAGGTATGTGTAGGCTCCATTGCTCCAAGTTAAACATTTGTTTAGAGTTAGAACGAAATATATTATTAAAAAAGTTAAAAATTAAAAAATATATACTTCGAGTAAACATTGAAAATTAATCTTACATTGTAGTGTCGGATAATTTTTTTTAAACGTGCCTGAATAGGTTGATAAACTCCATAATGTTATACATTTTATCGGTTTCTGATTGTGTCTGAGCGTTGTGCAAGCGTCACGTGCTATATAGTAAACAACCGTTTTGACCCTATACGTAATACTCATAAATCATAATAATAATAATATGACAATAAATATGGCGTTGTGAAAGATGACTCATTGCGTGGTGTAAAATTTTTCTGACAATCCTTACCAAAACTATAAGTACTAAAAAGTTTAAAAATATTATAATATACCTACATAGGTTAAGTTTAATATTTGTATACATATTATATATATATATGTATATATGTGTAAATACAGAGTCTGAAATTTGTGGTTATCGGTATTTTCCCCGAAAATCCAAAAACCCGAAACCTTTTTTTCCCGAATCGAAATTCCCGAATGGTATTTTTTGAAAGTCCGTATACCCTAAATCTTTTTATAATAATAATTCTTGCTCTGCACTCTTTTCTACGTAATTTTGAACATTCCCTGCAGTATGTTTTTCCTTTGACTGGTAGTTTGGAACGCACGTAAATAAAACCACCGTAAATTAATTTTGTTTCGCCCAAAATTTTAATTTCGGCCATGATGGTAATTGATTAATTAAAAATAAAACAATTTTTTTTTTTTTAAACGCATTTGAGAAAAATGGTTATCGAATTTTCGGGCAAAATACYATTTAGGAAAAAGTGCATTCGGGAATTCCGATTTGGGAAAATCGGTGGGTACCAACATTCGGGGTATATTATGACGCACGAACAAATATTATATTCAACATTAATGGAGTTTTGCGGTACCCGACATCATATTATGTTATCGTCATCGAAATTATTACCTTTTCATTTATACATGTATATATATATTACCTATTTATGTGTACCATTTACCAAGGTAACTGTATCTGAACACTGCAGGTATCTAGAAGAAATTTTATAACGAAAAACGTTTTACAATACATACACTGACATCTTGAACATTTGTAAGGCTGAAAGACATAAGCACTTGGTGTTTAACCGTGATTTAAGACATAAAAAGTTAAAAAAAGTTGATACTGATAAGTCGTGATAATAAAGAGCCGCAAGAGTATAAACAAAGTCTACCACGGTTCTGGTTAATATAATTAAACAGACCAAACGTTGGATCATGGCGTTTGCAAGGTTTGCAAACGTTTTAGGCTTCGTTTACCAAACAGRCAGTCCGAATTTCTCCGTTATCAAACGTTTACGTTTTCCGCTATAGAATTTCCCTCTATATTTTTATAAATATACCTACCATATACCACGGTCCACGATGCATATTATTATATTATGCAATTACTTATATAAATTATATAAATAATTAAAATTAAAATTAAAAAAAAATACCAGAATAAATTTAYAGCAATATAATTAATCGTCATCAGTTGTATTGTATTTATAAGTTAGTCATTTAGGGTAGTGGAAACGTACAACTCTCTACGACCTACGCCACAGAGTTGCGGTAAGCTCGCTCTTCCGTTTCGGACTCGTTCGAATCGCGTTACCCGTCATACACTTATAATATATAGTATATACACATATATGTTTACGTGGGTCCCCAGGCATCTGATTTTCATATTTTAAATGAATCTTATTTGTAAGCCGTTAATTACGCGCGCTCGGTTGTAAAAGATAACAATACAAATAGAAAAATAACACTGACCCGAGGCTATTTAGTTATTATGTATAAATATTATTCTATTTATTATTATATTACTTATAAGTTATAAGACAGTAATCTGTAATATAATATACACACAATAACCGTAGTCCAACCAATTGGTCAACCACCCGCTCCGCGAAAGGTCATTGTACTGCCATTACATAGTCTTCTTCAGTGCATTCAAATACCTATAGCTACCTATCGGCTGATCATTATATAATATGCATATCATATATTGTGTTACGGAAATTTAGACAACTTGTGTATTTCTAAAATGGGATCTATCGCCACAAGTAATTGAAAAATGTTTTTAGAAAAAAAATTACAATCGCCCGTCGATAAAWTACACCTATAAACACTATAATAATATATAAATATAATATGCACTTGAACGTCATCGTAACGGTCATTAATGGTCAGGAAACAGTCACGTGGCGGACGTGACTGCATTGTTTCAATGAAATATTTTTTTCTCTGTTCTCACTTTGGCATATTAAAGTTAAAAAAACCTCGATAGAAAGAATTCACCACGAATACCGTCTTGTCACATTCGTCCGACAGAGGCGACGGCGACGACGACGCGACGAGTCATATTAAACAGGTCGTCGACTTAGAAATTGTATTGTTTTTTCTCTCCATTAACATAAATGTCAGAAGATTTTTTGAATTTTTGATGTATATATAACTATTATTATAAATAATAATAATAATAATAATAATTCTGATATAAACTAGAGTTTCAGAAACAACATATGTATGCTTCTTTAATCGTCAGTCACCACACATACCTAACCTATAGGTACAACAACTATGCATTATATATAAAACCTATACCTAACACGTAATAATGCGTGATATGTTTAAAACGTTTTAGTTGTGACAATGTAGATACATCATTAATTATTAACTATCATGCACGTATACTTATGAGTTGTGATATTATATTAATGATCTGATCATCATATTTATTATAACTATAGATTTTCCTCGTAACGAATTTATTTAAAATAAAACCAAATTATTATAAAATTAAGAAGCCACAATACCAACATTTATTTTCTCTGCAGACAGTCTTTTGATTGCATGAGTAATATAGCGACAAAAGTATTCAGTACAACCTTGATATATATCTTTATAAAAAAAGATATTTCCTATGTAATGAACAATTTTTAATATTAAAATTTTATAAATAGTCGTTAATTATTAAATAAAAGATAAACTAAATTGAATTAAAATAATAGCTTATCTAAAAAAAAATGTTTAAAAACTTTCAGGGGAATGCATAACAAATATCCTGCTTTATAGAACTTTATATAGGTATAATAGATTCCTTTGTCCTAAAGTAGTAAAGTGTATAGCCAGTGTAGGGCCTAAACTTAACCACAGAGTCGTAATCGTAGAATTATTATGAAATACCTTTGTTGTTATATTAAACAGACGCTAACAGAGAAAACAAATATTAATGGGAATAAGAGAATAATATCCATAACTCACGAGTATTCACATGCTCACGCTCATCACTGAAAAATAATAGTGCTATATTTATTGTCTAGTGTTCGTATTTTATTCATAAAAAAAAAAAAATTATTATAATAACATAATAGATATGTACCTAATGATATGTTTTGAATCTGCAGCTTCAGTGATTGGTACAAAACCCAATGGTTCGCTGCAGACATGTCTATAAACTGTTTTACTCGCACTTTATTATTCTGATATWATGTTGAATCGTAAGACGTACAGTCATATGGATCTGCAAKATGGTACATAGATAATAATAATAAAGTTCATAACATTTTGCGTTATTGTAGATGGCTGGTGATGGGGATTACAATAAAATAATAAATATTGTATACGCTGCTGTACCACCGACGTTAATGTTATTTATTATAATTTATAATCCACGCGCGAAACAAAATAATATACACCAGGGATGGCTAGTGATCAGAGAGCCACGAGCTGCACAGTATATTAATCTAAAATATGTAAGAGCAAAGAACAGGAATAAATGGTTCTCAATACTAATTTAARTAAGATGCAATAAAATAAGTAAAATTCGAAATATTATGATAACTAACAAAGAATAATGTCGGATCGGATTAAATTGAGAGCAAGATAATTTTGTCTTCATATTATAATAGCTATTTTTAAACTAGTAAAAATTATTTGCGTCGTAAGAGAACGTTACATAGGCATTTGTTGTCTTCGTCTTACAAACGTACAACATGGTAATTGGTAATTTTTACTACATCCCGGATGATTTTAATGATATTATTTTTAAGTAAGTTATGACCATATTTAAACCTTTTTTTAGTACATTTTAAAACGATGATAACMTACTTAAAAATAATAAAATCAATAAAATCCTCCAAGACGCCCTAAATAATATTATTGCCTTTAAATTGTATAAGATTACCTTTTTCAATCTAATTTTAAAAACTATAGAGTAAAATGTAGATTGTAAATGTAAAATTTTCCATATTGTATGTATGTATAAGATGAACACAACAAATGTCCATGTGGCGTCTTATTAAGATAAGATGCGAGCCAAGGCTTGACCACCTTTATAAATATCTTTGAARAAAGTGGCGAAAATTCAAAGTCCTATCTGTTACAGATCTTATTTGTCACCACTTCTTTAATGGTGACAGTGGCGTTGGGCCAGCAACGCCCCGTCCCGCCAGCATTCACCAGACCCACGGTGCAGGGTCGTGGCATTGCTCAACTGAACTTGGACCCGCAGCAACAGGTACCACAGCCATTTCGCAGGGTCTCTTTGCCCCTATACAGAGGTCGAGGGTTCAGTCTGGAGGGACAAGAACCGAATAAGCCTCAGATGACGCAGCAGACGTTCCAGTCGAGACCGGTAGAAAACGTGGACGTTGATACGACGGCGAACGTCGACACGCCCCAGCCCACCAGGCAAGTTCCACAGCATCAATTTGAGAGAACACAGCAACAGCAAGTTGACAGGGTCCAACAGCAACAAAACATTGACAGAATTCAGGCTCAGCCTGAAAAACAGTTCCCCGGATTCCGGCCCCAGGTATATAGGAAATASAAATATAAAGAAACTCAGCTGTAAAGACTTACATTATATTATTATATTAATATTACTCATTTTGAGAATCCGGTTTATCTGAATAGATATATAGGCTTGTATAAAATGTATAGCTCACAATATTCTCTGGTTGATTATTGACATTTTAACATGATTTTAAATATTGAAAACAGTGTTGAAACGTCTATAGTTATTTAAAGTTGTTGAACTATTTTATTAGCCATATTAAAAGTRATCATATGACTCAAAATATTACAGATATAAAATATTGAATATATTTATCTAAATAATTTACTAATTTCTTAGAAAAATCAAAATAGTCCAGACGGTTCAGTTTTATCGCTAATTTTATTTTTTTATCTGAATTTATTGGTAACTGCACTGCACTATAGTATTCCACTTCTATAAAGAATCTATAATAATATAATATAGGTTTATACTGTAGGTACCTAGTAAGTAATTTACATTAAAATTTAAAGCTCACCAGCCATCACTATAATTTTATTTTAATTAAATTATTTAGCCACAGATACAACCCATTGAATCACAACCAAATTTYGTGAGGAAGRTCGTGCAGAGGCCGGTGAAACGAGTACGAGTCACCGAAAATACGGAAGTTGTTTCTAAATCTCCGGAAACAATACAGAGAATGAAACTTGAACGAACAGAGTCTGCCGACAAACAACGGGCAAAGAAGCCGGTGTCTCAGGTGCCAGAATKAAATAATTTTAATTTTTTACACAATTTATAAACACCTCGTATTAGTCCCGTAAAAATCCTTATGGATTTATATCATTCTAGAGACTATAATAGTATATAGTATAGGTATTTTGTCATCGTTCCACCGAGATGTTATCACATCTTTATAATCACGTCTCTCTTATTAATTACTAGGAATTAATGTTAGTACTTTTCCACGCCACGCGGGAAAGGTTATCTCGAACTATTGCAGTAGTCATTATATTACACTCTCTTCTGACAACTGCCTTAATCCAAGTCATCAGACTCATTCAAATAACATGATATAATGGCCCGATATAAGCTAAAGTGTATCATAGACTTCACCTTTTACTTAAACTTCCTCGATCACTCATTCATTCACTCGGCACTTAGATAAAATCCTATATAAACCACACGTTTCYCCTGATGCATATTCGTGATACGATTGTCTATTTATTTTTTATTGAATATCGTGCCTTCATATATTATGCAGATACAACTCGGCTTTTAGTACATTTAGTGCTCTACTAATAAATAAAAATGTTTTCATCGAAGTGACTATTATACTAAACATACTATATAGGCACTAAAATATCGAAGTATCATAAGAAACTAACGAAACAAAATGATTACGATCACTTGCCATTAAATTGTATTTGTATTTAATATACAATTTATGTCAATTAAATACCTACTAGATTATCTTTATATTATAGAATTTCAAAACCAATTTATTTAAACTATCTATGCGTTTACTATTTGTAGCTTATTAAAATAACAATAAACCTCCAAAATGTATACATTACATATATATTATATAAATATACATAATATTTGTGTACCTTTATAGTTAAAACTTTTCGAGATAATGACGCACTGAAACGCTCGAAAACCATTCGACAAGAACAAAACGATTAACAATAATAGTAATAATAATAATACCTACAGTGTAAAAAAAAAATAATTTTCTAATGATAACTAAATATGAATGTGTCTRATAAGTGAAAAAAATAATTAACTTTCAAATATAATAARTTATGAAGGAAATTACATTTTAAATATATATAACATACACCATTGACCTTTTTACGAGTATATAAAAATACGTTTGTGGTGGAAGGTATATACCCATATAATAACATGAATACTTGTTAAATACAGTTAGTGTTGGACGGATATATCAAATATAATATGAACTAACGATTTGAAATCAAAAAGAATGAACCACATTCAAGATATAGTAGGTATTATAAATATGACACCTMGTTATAACGGTGAAACTCAAAACATTTGCGAAAGCATATACCTAATAAAAAAAACATATATTACATACAATATTAAACATTACATAATTTAATGTTTCATATTTAAATTATAATTACTTGATCTTMTAAAATATGAAATCTGTTTATTTATTCATCCATTCTTTTTTCTTATTTTTGTAAAGCATTGTAACATTCGATATAATCATTTATGGTATGCGTGCATATATTATCTGAACGATTTTAAAAATTAACGATTTGAGAGGATCTTTACTATTTTTTAGTCACCATAGTTTTTACAAACTATGTAATTGTTTAAAATACTTTATTCATGAGAAATTTCTCAAAAGGTTCAATTCAAATATTTTTATGAAAAAAATGAAAAGATAATGTTTAATAATAATATAATATAGGTATAGGTAATAAACATCGATTAAAAATAATCCCAATATATGAATCCAAATGAAATAACAATAATATTGTACTGCAACTTACAGTTTACACATTATACAATGCACTCAATGCAGCATGGTCATATAATTGCTAGCAAAAACATTAATATTCTGATCACAATTTAAAACTGACCCGAGGAAAAAAAATAGTGTAAGTAATTACTAATTATATTCGATGTCTTTAATGGCGTAATTAGCTTAATGTATTATATCTACTGGCTACCTAACAAATATTTTATCATACAAATTTAAGTTTGTTTCTATATTATTCACAATATCCATAAGATCATATCATATTTTATAATACGTAGGTAATAGTGTAATACATAATACTAAATATTAACGACGTTCCAACATATAATATATATATATATATATATATATCACAATTTAAATTAAATTTCTGTGTCACTGATAAAAATATTGAGAAAGTACAATATCGAATTTACATTCACATTCGATTAACTGACGTACCTGCCAG